AGTGATGCATTCTTTCTTATATACAATGAAGTGCATTGTCGTCAGTTGGTCGATACGGGAAACTCAAAAGTTGATGAGTGTGTGCTTGTATTAAAAAAAAAAATACAAGTTGATGTGATTATATATCATGTATGATGATTTTTATTTTTTTTATTATATTGGTGAAAAATATATAGAATTGTCTATTTGACTTTCTGTTTGTGCTTTCATTAAATCAACAATGGTTTGATTTAGATTTGAGGATGCGTTCGAGGGATCATGAAGTATTATGTGCCATTTGAATCAATATAGTGGTTGAAATGTGTGCCTATATAATTATGTGTTGTGTATTGAAGCATGTTGATGAACTTGTCCTTATTCAGACCATTCTAAATCTGTGTTGGAGTATATTATCAGCGTCCTTCGGCCTTATCGGATTTTATATGTTCTCTTTGATGTTTTATGTGGCATTTGCATTTGTTGTTTTTTAAAGATCGAGACTGGTGCTGAGGAAGATGAAATGGAAGATTCAGATTCTGAGAGTGATGATACATTAGACTTATAGAAAATAACTGAGATGAGACTCGTGCCCGCAGATCCTAATCAATGTACTTATCATATATTCCTTCCAGAGTCATTCTTTAGTTTCAATTTTTAATCTTTCAATCACTTTTGCCTTTGTTCCCTTCCAACTTCTATATTTCTATAAGTTACTCAACTCATTACAGTGGATGAGTTGTTTGCAATATTTTGCGAGTGTGCTGAGCTGAATCCTGATCCCACAGAAGGTGATGATGAATTCTCCCTTTATTTTTTTACGTTCAGAATTTGTAACTGGGACTAAGTACTATTAGTTTTTTCTGTTCTGCCAGCAGAGGAAGAAGTTCAACACAATTGGATTTTCAGTGCTGATCAACTGGAAAATGATGATGCAGGTACCAACTGAATAGTCTTTTTGTTCTATTTTAGCATTTTTTTTTTCGGCTTGTTTCAATTCTTTCTTTCTTGTGTTCTCTTTAGAGGATGATGGCAGAGAATGGGCTTTCCCTGAAATCTCAACTCATACGATTGGGGCTAATGGGACTCACGACTTGGCTCATTCAGTGGTGCAGGTACATTTTGAAATTCATTGTGTTTATTTGATGGGAGCCGAATTGGCAAAATCTGTCTTCCTGGTTATAATTACTTGTACTCATTTATTTTATCCAGCACGCCTATATTTTAGAAGCTATATTTTTATTTAACTTTTGTTTTGAAGAACTAATTACTGTGAAAAGTACAACAGTTTAAATAGTATTTTGTTATAGTAGATTTTTAATGAATATATGAAAATTGAAT